TGTTGATAGAAAAACAAAATCAAACAATAATAATATCAAATTTTTTTTGTACTTCTTGATGAAAGAAGATGATTAAACTACCAACAACTCAATGAGACGACTAAAAGAAAAATAAGAACGAAGAAGAACTAAGAAAACAAAATTAATGACTCAAACAATAAAGAAAAGATATAACTTTCAATTAATTTGGAGCCAAAGCTCTGATACTAACTGATGCGAAACCCGTAGCAACGTTGACTACAAAATCCACAACAAAATTGACGAATCCAAGAAAGCTAAATTAATCTAAGAGTTTAGGATTAACCCAAAAGAAAGTCGAACCAAAAAATTCAACAAGAATGACGCTTGAAAGACCCCTTGATCACGCAATCCAAGAATTAAATCCGGTTGTTTGAACGCTACAAGTTAACACTTGATAAGTTCGAAGTTGGTCCATGAAGAACGATGAAGAGAAGACAATACGCCTCACTTTTAATTCAATATCAATAATGTCAAAAGTTTTTTTAAACAATTGAATGGAAATTCCTATTTATACTAAACCTAAAAACTAGGTAAAAATCGTGCAAAAGTCGATCATAATCTCCAAAATATGGATAAGAATAAAAAACTAACAAAATATGAAAAATTGCCGAAATTAGGAAATTCGCCAAAAAAATTGGTCTATGCGACCGCATGGTGTATTTTCATGCGGTCGTATGGTTCAACCAAAAATCCATCTTGAGTTTTGGTATGCCTCCATGCGGTCGCATGGTGTTTTAGCTGTGCGGTCGTACTGACTTATTTTCAGCCTCCGATTTCGTCACTTGATAACAAATTGATCCAAGTTGATTCGGCATTCGATCCGAACATGAAAGTTGTTCCATTTTGAGTCTCGAACATGGTTCCATCATTGGTTTCTTGAACGAGCAATCTCATTGCTTGTTTCACTTGTTTTGCCATTAATCGTGTCATTGGTCTGCCATCGACTATCAACGGATCTCGTCTCGCACTCGCCTTCGTCAGGCTCGACTCTTGGATCATATCATGACAACTCAACGCTCTCAAAACACCAACATCACTGATTGAGGTATCTCTTGTTTGATTAGTGGAATTACTGAGACCATCAAATGCTAACTTCATCACCATTGGGACATTAAGAAAAAGCATTTCTGCAATACCCTGCAAAGTAATAATGAAACTTATAAGGAATTATATATAGCATGTAGAGTAAATATCATCTCGATGTCAATGTATGCTTCAAATATCCGCGTGTACACATTGTATATGTGTAGTGCAATGAACATAATTAACTTAATAAGTAAAACTTTTTAAGCTTAGAACATTATGTATATCCATACCAAAATTTCAGGATCTTCAAGCAACTGTTCTTCGATGCAAATCTTGCCACGAAGCTCCAGTTCCTTTTCTTTACTCTTCTTGGCTACCGCAAGCCTTCTGCTACGAACCTTCCGATACTCTCTCCGTGGTACAGCCACAATTTCCATTTTTCCAATTCCAAATGGTCAAACTTCTTAAATTAAACTTCCTCCGACCGAAAATTGAGTTAGAGCTCCAAGAGGCTGACTTTACAAAATGAGTGTTGAGTTCCATCATTGGGCCACTAAGAAAGGTATTAAGCATTTTTATTTAACAATCTCCACCTTGCTTGACACCTTTAGGTCTTCATTGTGGACTAGAGGTTAACTCCTCCTTCGATATCATGTGCTCTTTATACCTGCAAAAGAGATTTCAGTTAGGAATAATATTTAGAAGATTTAAACAATCCCTAAATTTATGTACATGAAGTATTTTTGTACCCATATCTGCTGGATTACACTTAGTGGATATCTTTTCAATTTTTATTATGTTCTTTTCTATAATGTCTCTTATAAAATGGAATTTAACATCCATGTGTTTTGTTCTATCATGAAAAACGAGATTTCTACTAAGATGTATAGCAGATTAGCTATCAGAATGTATTAAAGCATCATTACCAGTAAAGTCAATTTCATCCAACGGATTTTTCAACCAAATACCTTCTTTTACAACATCTGTTGCAGCAATATATTCAGTCTCTGTAGAAGACGAAAACAGAGCTACTATCTTTTGCAACTGTGATTTCCAGCTTATGCAAGTGTCATTTAAAGTAAAAACATATGCAAATGTTGATTTTCTATTATCACAATTACCAGCAAAATCAGAATCTACAAATCCATTTAATTTAATCCCAGTTTTCCTTTTTCCAAACATTAGTCCTAATTTTGAAGTTCCCTTAAGATATCTAAGTAGCCATTTCATGTCTTCTCAGTGTTGTTCACCAAGATTACTCATATATCTACTTGGTACACTTATAGCAAAAGCAAGATCAGGCCTTGTGCAAACCATAATGTACATCACTGAACCTACAACATTTGCATAAGGGATTTTATCCATTCTATTTCTTTCTATCTCAGTTTTAGGACACTGTTCAGTAGAGAATTTAAAATGACTGCCAAGTGGTGAGGTAACTTCTTTTGCTTTATCCATAGCAAATTTACATAGAATTTTGGAAACATATGACTCTTGAGTTAGAAATAGTGTGTTGTCACTTCTATTTCTCCTAATTTCCATTCCTAAGATTCTTTTAGACGATCCCAAGTCTTTCATTTCAGATCTTGAAACCAATGACCAGAATGAGGTGGAGCTTACTAATGAACAAGAAATAGCCCCTAAACCTGAATTTGAACAAGATATTGAATCTGAACTTGTCCCACTAATAAATCCCTTAGAAGACTATCAACTTACTAGAGATAGAGGAAGGATGGAGATAAGACTACCTGCAAGATATAATGAATCAGATCTTGTCACAGCCTTAAGCATATAGAATTTTCTAGACAATGAACCTAATTCATATGAAGAGGCAATTGGGGGAAAAAACTCAAATTCTTGGCTAGTAGCCATGAAGGATGAAATGCTTTCACTTGACAAAAATAAGACTTGGGTCTTAGTTAATAAATCAAAAGGGGGAAAGGTTATTGATAGCAAATGGATTTACAAAATTAAAGAAGATGACTCAAAAGATGGAAATGTAAGATTTAAGGCTAGACTAGTTCCAAAAGGCTTTAACCAAAGAGAAGGAATTGACTATAATGAAAAATTTTCACGTGTAGTCAAATATACCTCTATAAGAATTCTTCTTTGTATTGTTTCCCAATTTGATTTTGAATTGGAACGGTTAGATATAAAAATTGCTTTCTTACATGGTAACTTAGAAGAAAAAATTTATATTACCAGTTGTAAGGTCGAATTCCAGCAAGACCCAAGGTAAATCGGGCTCAGTTTCCACACTATGTTGACACCACCACCGGTTGAGACAACACCCAAAACCACCGCCTTTGTTCCCACCTCCGGTTACTACAATATACTCACAAAGAGTTGGCCAAGATGAAGAACAATAGGTTGTCCACAAGAAACCACAAAGGTTATATGAAGAGGAGAAGCCAAGAATCAAAGTCACAGAGAGAGATGGATTATGCTTCATAGTGGAGGCGAAGAGAGGCCGAGAATATAAGCCAAGTGAGTGACCAAAAAATGGTAAGTTAGGTTAGGTTTATTTAGTGTACCAAACAAGGCTCAACTCAAAGTAATGGGCTCCAAATTAATACCATAGCCCTCCAAGGAAGTGGGACAAACCATGAGCAACACTATTAACAATAGGTTGCTTCTAACGGTCCATAGGAATGTGGGTTGAGTTGTCTCGATACTTGTGTCGGCATATAAATCAATCATATAGCCAAGGTCGATTGATAATAGATAAAATTGAGGTTACATCATTGCCCGGGGAGTTATTGGGTATCAAAACCCAACAATGAGAATGAGGTGGGTTTTGCGAAAAAATGGTTTAATTTTTACTTTTTTGATAAATATTACTTGTACACTTCAATATAGATGACATTGGGAATTCACCAGAGATATCAACGATTATATACATCGAAAGCGTACATGTTGGAATGTATGTGTCAGTTTACACCTCCACATAAAGGGGCTATGCGTGTGTACACAGAGGAGTGCAAGCACCTTCACCTTTATGCTAATGTGGGTGCGAGTTCCCTCGTTTTGAAAAAAATAAAAGAAGTAATGAAAGGAAAGAAGGGATTAAATTGCTTTCGCTGTTGTGTATAGCTTTCTAAAGTGATCAATAGTCTATCGTCGATTGGAAAGAAATTTGTAATCATGTTAGCATTTAATTGATATACGAATTAAATAATTATGATCATGGATAATTGATATGTACTATAGGCCTAGACAAAAGTCTTTCTTTCTAGAGGTTATCTCTTTTTCCGATTTACTGTTTAATTAATATCTTTATTTATTAAGTAGATATATAGCTTTATTAATATCTTCATTTACTTATCTTTTCAACTTCTTCTTCTTCTTGCTACGATTTGAACTCGAAACAGCTTTCCTCTTGAATCTCGTTGACTGCATTTTTATTTGAAGCTCAATATTAATTGATTTGCTCTCTGTTCATACCGTGATTTAATTAAAGGGACAGTTATAGAACAATGGAGACAATGGAGACAAAGGAATCAATAAAGAAATTGGAGGAGAAGACCTTGTAGTTTTGGGAAAGTTATAGAGAGGGGTAAAAAAGTAGTTTGGGGACACGGATTTTTCCAAATTGGGACGAAGTATTTATCAATTTTTTATTTTTTTTGAATGTGATTAAATATGGACATAGTGTTTTTTATAATTAATTTTTTGATTGTTAAAAGAAAAGTAGGACAATTTGTGAGGGAAGAAGTAAAAAATTACTGCTAAAATAATGAAATAACGATAAAAAAAAAATCAATTTTTTAAGGTGAAAAATCACTCCAAAACGGGATCATAATCAATTTATGTGAAAAAATGACATATATGAATTATGAAAATTCAAAATTATAACCACAGGGTATATGTGCAATTTCCAGAAAGAAAAGGTGTGCATGTGTAAATTCGCAAAATTAAAATAAAAAACCATAAACGGGGCTGAAGGACAGAAGGAGCGAACCCACTTATAAGGTCCAAAACCCCCTTACCAACAAAATCAAACCCCACAACTCCCCTCGCTCTCGACTCTTGCCCCCTCTGTTTTTCTTTCGCTCGTCGTTTCAAGGTTTTCAATTCTTTCTAATTTTCGTTTTAATTCCATTATTATTTCTTTCATTTCGAAGCTACTGTTTTTATATCTTTAGAAAAAATGAATTCTTTAATGCAATATGTTGTTTGATGATTAGTTAATAGGTGCAATGAAACTCATTCGAAGTGTACTGTTGTCTGCAAATAATGGTTTGTCTCGCCAATTTCAAAGGCCTCAAGCAGTTCGGGCTTTTTCTGCCAGCCCATTCTCAGGTAACTATTTCTTTCACTAATGCTTTTATTTTTTTATTTTTTATAATTTGATTGGTGGTTGAGTTATTTCGCGAATATGAAGTTGATTTTATGGTTTTCTCCATTGTCAATAGATTTGTATTTATTTACTCGATTAAATTCACATAAACAATTTTTTGAATTTGGTGAAGTAGAAAGTTATTGTGAATGATTAATTACTATGTTGCTCAAAATGGTTTACAAAGGTTTTGGTTGGTGCAAGGAACTTGTGTTCCTGTTTTTCAAGCAAGATTTGAAGGAATATTATTGAGGTTTGACACCGAAAGGGAGACTTTTAATAGTTTTGTATCTTTAAAATAAATGTTAAAAGATTGCTATATTTGTTTTAGGTCTCATTTATTTTCACCATAGATCGTACAGAAAGATACGTGAAGTCTCTATTGTAATTTACATCTGAAAGTGTTGGCTCTGAGGCAGTCTGGTCTTGCATTTATACAGGTACTGATGATAAGCAGAATTCTAACTCAAATGAGTCTTCTGAAGAATTTGAGCACCGGATTTTTGGTGATGCTTCCAGGAGTGGTCCAAGTTTTAGTTCCTTTTATCAAAAGCTTGATAAAGCTGAGAAGGCGCATGACCTATTTGGTTCCGGATCTAAATTCAATGCTGGAAACAGATCTAATTTCTTGGATGGTCTAGATGAGAGTTTCAACACATTGTCTGATGGGATGGATGAAAAATTGAAGAAAGCAGCCACGTACTTCGATTTTGATCCTGATGAAATAAGTAAAGAAGATTACGCTTACAGACCAGATATGAATTTCTGGACTGGGAACTCTTATGATGTCAAGGTATGAACCTTGAAGTGGGATTTGTATTATCTTTTGCCCATTACGTGTGCATCATATTGATTTTTTCTTTTTCCTTTTTTAATGCTTCTTAAAGTTTGTCTAAAGAAATTCATATTTTATTGTCTCAACAAAATGTCGTTTTCTATATGGTAACTCCAATTTGAAGGGAAAAAATCATTGTACCCTTGGCAGATATAACCCCTTTTCAGTTGACTATGTCAAGTGTTACTGATTGTGAACATTGTGTAACTACTTCAAGATGTTTGTCCTGTCCTAATGTCCTTTTTTCTCTTACATTAACATTTTTTAACTTTTGATTTTGAGTTGAGTTCAACATCTTGTTAGGCAACAGACAATCGGTCTAATGTTGTTAAACCTAATATGATTCAGCCTCTTGATATGATTTTGTTTCTTAAACTATTGTGTTATTTCATTTAGTTCTCTCATTTTTACCTCTATGCTTTCCATTCATCCATTCAGGATCTTGACATGAGGAAGCCTGGAATTCGCAAGCCCTACAAAAGGAATGAGTTTGAAACGACATCAGAGGAAGTTTTACGTAAAGCTGATTTCAGGGTGCGGAATTTTGAATGTTTCCCATTAGTCTAATTTTTGTTGGGAATTTGTAACAATTGCCTCTAGATTGAAGGCTGGTCCGAAATTTGGGTTTTATCAGTTTTTCTTTACTGTTTTGTGGGGTTGGGGTGGAGTTTTCTAAAGAAGCTCCCTTTGAAAAGAGTGACGTGTTTTTCAGAAGAGGGAGGGATAAATAAAAAATAACATGGCGCGTGATAGTTGCTTTAAATCTTGGAGCATGTTTAGGAGTTCTTAGAAGCTCCTTATAAGCAAACCCCCCCACCCCAGCCCACCCCAAAAAAAGGAAAAATAGAAAAGAAAATGCTCTTAGTGTTATTCAACAATGAACAAAATAGAGTAGTGGACAAATATTTACGCACCAACTCCAAATTTATTGCGGAAAGAACTATGTTTTTGTTGGGGAGGTGGAGTGGAGTTTTGAGTTTAAGAAATGATGTTGAGGAAGACAAATACTTCTAAGATTCTAAATGATAACTTTCAAATTTAATCCTGCGTATCTCGCTGATAAAGATTGTTGCTGCATTTGATTTTTTGCTTCAATATGATGCATATGTTCATTATTGGTTGTGATTTAAATATCACACGATACTTAGCCCCAATACTCTTGAGCTCATCTGCTGATTTATTGAAATAGTGCCGCTAAGGGATTGGAAGTTGCAATCTTTTACTTACTGGTTTATTGTTGTCATCTTAGTCAGGTTCCATACAGTTTTGGGTGCATGTGTTTATTTGGAACGATATTGATAGTTTTTTACTGTGTTAAAGGTTCTTATAGTTTTGATTACTCGTATTCAAATTGAAGTCACCTACAGCCTAATTTAGTGGCCGAGATCCTTTGGTAGACTGTCTAATTTTTTCAAATAAATCCTGTTCTTGTTTGACCATGGCCATAAACATTTCTTCCACGTCAAATTTTCCTATGCGGTAATATGTTACTTTGTCTTTGGTACCATAGACATTCCATTCTAACCCAAGATTTCTGACATGGTATATGTTATTTTTGTCTTTGGTTCTGTTTTAAATTGATCGATGAGCACTTGAAAAGTTTCTTTTCCACAGCTAGCAAAGGCAATTCATGAAGTTATGATTTCACTTTTGTCGTAAAGTTTCCTGGATTTCAGTTGTGGCTGAAAATTGTTCATATGTATCTTTTGAATCTTTACCTTGCGTTATTATCTGGGTGAAGTTTCATGCCACGACCTTTTAACTAGATGCCTAATTTTTGCTGATTAGTTATCTTCTCTAACATAAAAATCTGCTTTGGTGTAACTGAGTCTGCAAAGTTTCTGGTCAGAATGTCAGATTTCTTGCGAACTTCATCACTGAGGCTGGCATCATCATCAAAAGGAGCAAGGTAAAATGACTCAGTTAACGTAAAGAATATACTTATAAGCGGAATAGAAGTGATTCTTTTTGTATTCTTTTCCCCTTGTTTTAGACTGGAATCAGTGCTAAGGCCCAGAGGAAGGTTGCTCGTGAGATCAAGACTGCTCGTGCTTTTGGTTTAATACCTTTCACCACAATGGGAACTAAACAATTCATATATGGCAAAACAATGGAGGATCTAGATGAAGATTATTCATATGAGACTTATGATCGCGATTTTGTTGATGATGAAGTGGAGACCTGAACAGCCTGTTTGTTTTGATTACCATTCGCAACCAAGAAAAAAACCACAATTTTTGGCACGTAGAAGTAATGAATTTTCATACAGTTGGTTTTGTACCATGTTGCTTCTCGTACTCGTGGGACTCGGTAATTCTCAAGGATATTCACCCTGGATGGTTGGATGGTGACTTTTGTCTTCATTTTCTGTAACCTTTTTATGTTGGAATATGCATGTATTGTTATTGGAACTGCGAGTTGTACCCTTTAGTGGATAAAGGCGTGAAATTTTCGAATTTGTTGAACCCTCTGATCGCCTACTGGAACTTAGGCGGGCTTCCTCCATTCTTTTTCAATTTTTCGAATTTTCAATAAGGAATAAATATTTTCTCGTGTGTGAAATGGAGGATGAATCTGTTTTTGATTACAGCGTTTTGGCTGCATTTTATGGCTCGCAATTTAGAGAGAGTGCAGGTTCAAATTGTCAATTAATGCTCAATTATAGGGCTGCACAAAAAAACTGGGAAATCGCGAATCGAATCGAAACTGTTGAATTGAAATTGTTGGTTTGGGTCCACATAGATCCCTGGTTTTTTCCCCCTCAAATCGAATCAAACTATTTCAAAATGGTTTGGTTTAGGTTTTGATTTCAAAAATCGCACCAAATCGAATCAAACCGTTTAAAATTTTTTTAATTAAAACATTAATTTTATTAATTTAAAATTTTTACATTTTTCACTTTTCAGAAAAAATACCAATTTAGCAATACAAATTGTAATTAACCTATTAAAATAATCATATAAAGTAAATTAGTTTTATCGTTATTGGCACATGGTTTAACAAGTTCACAACACACATCTTCACCCGATATTTACACTAAACTAAAATTATTACAAAATGATATGAAATGAAAATAAAAATAAAAATAAACATATATTTTCAACAGACCAAATCATTATTCAACAAAACTACGTCAGCAAATCACGTCCAAAATTTCAGAAGCCCTAAAATAAACTCTCATTTCCTTAACATTTGATATTTGCCTGCCGTTGCTGAATGAATCGCCAATCGCCTTTACCCATTAGTCTGCTAATTTTAACTGAATCGCCTCTTTCTCTCTTCTCTTTCGGTAAGTCCCATATTTTCGTTCAAGCCATTTTTTTGTTATTCTTTCTTTTATTTGTTGTTTTTGAACTTATTATACACTTGTGAATTGCAGTTTGATTAGAAAAATAACTGTTTGTGCGCCTAGATGATTGATGAACTTGTTTGTGGTTTGGAAAGAGTGAAGAACGAATCATATTGATTGCGTGAAAATGTTAAAGTTCCTAACTAGTACTAGTACCTTCTACTTTCATAAAGTAGCTAGAGAAGGAAATTTGTCAAATATCAATAAGTCGAAACTTTATCAATCATTGTATATCTAAATATATTCCGTTAAATCCTTATTTAACATCTCACTAGCAAGACGAAATGAATTTTAACTAAATTATAATAGTAGAATGTAACTCTACCTTTACCAACTGTTATATGACAATATGAATGACAAACAAAAAAAGGTAAATAAAAATGAAAAAAATTTATTTGTTTTATTAACATCTTTTAGCAACAAATTTTGAAAATAATTTATTCATAGGTTTCATAATAAATGTGAATGTAATTTAACATTTAACATTATTAGTTCTCGTTTAAACTTATATGTTAATTTATGTTAAATATGTTACTATAATGTTGAAAGATAAACCGTGAATTAAAACCGAATCAAACCACAAATTATGATTTGGTTTGGTTTGATTCGAAAAATAAAATGGTTTGATTTTGTTTGAAAAAATTTCGAACTGCATAAAATGGTTTGAGTTGAAAATATAGTACAAAATTGCCCAAATCAAACCGCGTTCACTTCTTACTCATTTCCATAGAGTTAGGGACCAAGTGGTGGTTCTTAGACCATCTCTAACCCTACACCAAAATCTGCACCAAATTAGAAATCATCTTCAATCCATTGCACCAAATGAACAGTATTTAGTCATTTTCTTTATTTCTTTTGTTTTTAGCAATTTATATAGCTGAAAAATTATTTATTTATTCGATTTATTACTACATAAATTATTACATACATAATTACGTTTTGTTTACAAAAATATGAAAATTATTTAATATATTTTAAAAATGTAGTACAATTAATAAAAATACCACAACTAAGAAATATGAAATCATGTTATTGAAAACAATGTAGTACATTTCAAATCTCGAAATTATGGTACGTAGAAGTCAACCCAGTGTCATAATTTAATTATTGAAATTTATATATTCATCCCACAAATGTTCAATTAATGCATTTCGTTTTGAGTACTTTTATTTTAATTCGTTCATCTATTATTATTAATTACGCGATTAAGGTTTATTACAAACGATGATCATCATTATCATTATCATCATCGTCATCATTATTATTTAATTAATTAACTACTTAATTATGAATTAAAATTTATGTATGATGTAAAATCACATAAATACCCTACGTATCAACTTAGCTATACATGAAAAAAAGGCAAAATAGACTTTTATCAAATTTGGTGCAAAATGTTGTAAGATTTGATGTTGGGTTGGAGTGGTGTTTTTGGTGAAAATTTGTGAAATTTGATGAAAAATGATGGAATGGTGTATGGGTTGGAGTTACCCTTAGGCCATCTCCGATGCTCTCCAAAACCATAATGCACCAAACAATGGTGCAAAACAACTCCAAAGCAATGCCAAACTATGAACCATTTTGGTGCAAATGATCAAAAGTCATTTTTACCCTTTATTTTCATTTTTCAAATAAATTGATTAATGATATTTGTATCATTTGTGCTATATATTTTTCAAATTTATTATTATTATTTACATTTAAAGTAAATTTTAAATGTAAAAATAATAGTTAATGAATTAATTAATTAAAGTTAAC